TACTGTAGTAGACTAGGAGATTCTTACACAATAGTGAAAAGGGACAAAGATACACAAGGGTCAGGAGAACACAGAGGTAGGAAATAATTTCCTCAAGTAGAGAAACACAAAATTCTTAAAATTGGAATAGATGCACTGTAAGTGATGGGATTCATCAAGACATTTTCATTCAAGTCTCTCCTGCTCTTTGACCTCATCCATCTGACATACCCTCCCCTTGCTCCGTCCTTCCACCCTTTCCTGCCAGTCCCTCCCTTCATCAACAGGCTCAATTCTACTTTCACATCATGTATAGAGAGAAGACAGACAGAAACATATTGTCTGAGTCTGGCTCATTTCCCTTCATATGATCATCTTCCGATGCATCCTTCCCTGCAGATGAAATTTTCTTTGTGGTCAATTAAACTCTACCAAGTATAAGTGTCACATTTTCTTGTTGCTGGACAGTGGGCTGGTTCTATTGATTAGCTACTATAAACAGTACTACAGTAAACACGGATGCCCAGGTGTCAATGTGGTCCATTGACTTAAGATGTGAATTCCCAGGAGCTATATAGCCGGAGCATATCACAGCAGTTTGTTGAGAAATCTCCATACTGATTCCCATAATGGCTAGAGACTCCCTTATTTTAACTGATGGTTCAGTAGGCAATAACCTAGGCTGGTGTAATCCAAGATGATCCAAGAATTGGTTTCACACGTCTAGTGCTTAGTGGCTTAAGGTACAGAGTTCTGAACGATCATGGGTCCTGTGAAATATTTTCAGTCCTAGGAGTTAAAAAGCCTGCTGGAAAATGAGAGCGCACCCCCACCCCATGCCCACTCATGATGGGCACCCCTTCCCTTCTACCCACAAAAGGCAGAAATGGGGCTAAGTGCCTAAGACCTAATTCTTCATCCATGAACCTAGCTACAACTTGGGTTTCCTGATGTCAGCCCGGTGTCTTCCATCAGTGTGATGAGCATCTGTGGGCCTCTGCACAGCATCCTACTCAGCAGATGGACCTCAGGTTGCTCCTCCCAGAACACTGCACCATCCTTCATTTTTTTTGGTCCATAGAAAGGGATGTCATTCTCTGAGTTCTAAGATTATATTAACAAGCTCAAGTGAAAACCAAAGGCTTCATGTGCTCTTCTTCCATTTCCTCTGGAAATTTAGCAGGGACACCGTGGCCTGCAGGTTCCATCACAGACAGCTTCATTTCCTGTGCTATTTCATTTTGTAATTACACGTGTGGTAATTTTCAAATATACCAGCACTAAATAACTTTCTTCTTTTGTTCCCCTTTTCTTCCCATCTCCCTCTGTTCAACCCCACCTTTCTCTTCCATTCCAAATCAGGATACTGGGCCTCCTATAATATTCCTTTCCACAAAATGATCTACAACTGGAGTGGCTACCCACTGCTGGTTCACAAGCTGGGTTTGGACTACTCTTATGACTTAGCTCCGCGTGCCAAAATCTTCAGGCGTGACCAAGGAAACGTGACGGAGATGGCTTCCATGAAATATATCATGCGATACAACAGTAAGTAGCACCTTTATTTTTCAAGAGTCATTCTGCCAAACTCCTTTTCTCCCCTGTGAAATAAGAATCTATGTAAGTTTATCATCTCTGTACTAGAGGGAATTATTAGAAATTATCTGAATCAATATTCAGGGATATACTATTAATGCTGTCCACATATTGGTCAACGAATAGAACCTTTGCCTCCTTTATGCAATCTCAAGAGAAATTGCTGGCAGGATAGCTCAGCAGATGAAGGCACTTGTTGTCAAGCCTATTGACCTGAGTCTGATCCTCTAGACCTACATAGTGAAAGGACAGAACTTGACTTCCACAATCTCTCTTCTGACAGCCGCAAGCACACTATGGTATGCTTATGTACACATACCCTTGTTAGCACAGATACAGACACAAAAATTCAATTCTTGATCCTCCTGGCTCTACCTCCGGAGTTTTGGAATTGTGGGTGTATATAACTACACCTAGCTCTACAGAGTTTTCTTTTACCTGATCCTTTCATCCCCCACCCAAAAAAGAAAACACAAGAACATAACCAAACATGTCAAATACAGAAATAATCCACGTAGGGTCATTTCCTTAGCATGGCCTGGCCTCCTACGAGCACGCCTCCCAAGTACAAAGGCAGCTAAAATATGCGTAAGTGCTTTCTTTTGGTGAAGACTTTTCAAGTCCAGTTTGTATTTCATCTGTTGGAAAATGGTGCTGCACATTTACCTTATCTCTTTCTCCTCTTTGGGGTATTGTTCTTAAGGCAGGCTGGCCCTGGGACGGGGGATTTATACTTCCTAGTGCAATCCTAGAGTGATGTCTGTATCTGGAAGCAGGTTGGGCTGAGGAGGCCAGTGGGGTATACTCTTTAATGATCCGGTATGTATGGATCCAAAATCTTACTATGGCTAAGTATATCTCAGAGTAGCTCACACCTATTATTCCTCACTGCTGTGTCTTCCAGATTACAAGGAGGACCGCTACAGTAAGGGTGACCCCTGCAGTACCATCTGCTGTCGTGAGGACCTGAATGGAGCCAGTCCAAGCCCTGGAGGATGTTATGACACCAAGGTAACAAACGCTCTGCTGCTTTCCAATTTACTCCTAACAAGGAGTTAGGCCAGAGGCAAGATGTTTTTGTGGTATAAAGGCCAGTATCTCCAACCACATATTAAATTCAGGAAGCAGCTTTGTATATAACTACACCTGGCTCTACAGATTTCTGGTAGATTCTCAGCACTCACATGCTGGCTAACACCCATCTGAACTCCAGTTCTGGGATATCCAGCCCCCTCTTCAGGCTTCCACTGGTACTGCAGGCATGTAGTGCACACACACCCATGCAGACAAAATACTCATTCACGTAAAATAAATAAACCATACTATGCCTTTGAGAAAGTGGACGAAGATTACATAGTCAAAGTTTAGATGGTCTTTTAAAATGTTTTCCTCCTTTTTTCCAGGTGGCAGATATCTTCCTTGCATCTCAGTATAAAGCTTATGCCATTAGTGGTCCCACAGTACAAAACGGCCTCCCACCTTTTAACTGGAATCGGTTCAACGAAACACTCCATCGGGGGATGCCAGAAGTCTTTGACTTTGATTTTGTTGCCATGAAACCCATTTTGTCATAGGACAACAAGTGAGGAATGGAGATGACAGAAAGCTGCAAATAAGACACCAAGGGCACTCTAAGCTATATTTTCCCATCTGTATTCTTAATAAAAAATATTAAATTTCCATCTGTGCTCCCACATTCAGCCTTGCTGGGAATGCTGCTTGGGCAGGAGAAATGGGAAGCACCGATACACCACTCATGATGGGAAATGCAGCCTTGGGGGGGTGGGGAGGGGCTCAGCCTGAGTGAGAAACTACCTAGGCTGAGGCTGGAGCTCCCTGACTCCCGAGGGGCCAGTTGCCACCGAAAACCAGAGTCGGGAACAGGGGGCCCACGGGCCTGCGAGGAGCCCAGGACTGGGGGCTCCTAAGCTCCTAGACATCCAGATGTTGCTGGAAGTCACAGGGAATTGGGAAGAGAGGGAGCCCAGGGCCCTAGGAAATGAATGGGGAACCTTAGCTCAGCAGTGGTGAGTCAGGGAGCCAAAGGGGCCTTCTGCAAGAGCCTCTGCAGTGAGGCTCTGTAAATGAAGGCTTTTTCCTTGCTTCCCATGGCAGTCCTTGACTCCAAACTGTTTATTGACTGTTCATTGTGGAAAATGAGTCCATACCACAGCCTCAGGGTGGACCAGAGATTAAATACCTTTTGCAGGAAGGAATGTCTGGGAAGGGAAGCTCATTGGTTAACCCCCAGGGACTCTAGGTACCTCATTAGCATGGAGAACTTTGTTCTGATCTATGCACATGTTCCATGTGGGGAGTGTGGTCATGTGTTACAAGCCAGGGATGTGGTACAGAGCAGGGAGATGGGTACCTGGGTCTCTGAATCCACTCAACTTTACCAAGTTTCCTGGCATGGTCCACTGCCCTACACCCATCCATTTTCCAGAGTTCTGTTTAACAGAAAACATTTCCTGAAGGGTAGAGAGCTGCAGAATAAACATTATGTGTGAAACAAATAAAAGGATAACAGAAGCCCTGTCACAGTTCATTATCCTTTTAGGCCTACAAACATGTTGGGCCCCATTTCTGCCCTGGTTTGGGCCTTGTGGACAAACCTGAGTTTCTGTGGCCTTGTGGGAGGGCCTAAGCTTGGCTCCAGTTTGAGACCTGTCTCCGTCACTTCCGAACTGGAGTAACTCAACAGGACCTATTTGGTCCTGGCTCTGCTCAGCTGTTGCTGATGTAGGGCTTTGCCATTGGCCCTGTCAGTCATAACCCATAACCTTCCATCACCCTTCCCCATCCCTACGTCATCTCACCCCACCAAAACCCCTCCCTCTATGCTCCAAGTTTACATAAACAAGAGGTTGTTACATTAAAGTTGAATTCCTGCTTAGACAAGACTCCCAGCCGGGTGTGTTTCTTCAGCAGCTGATACCATCCTGCTCAGCTCTGGAGAGACCCGGACAGAGTGGGACCTCTCTTTCCTCTCTTCTGGACCTGCCGGCTTTAAGGAGCCTACACAAACATCAATCACAGTTCTAGCCAGTGGAGCTAGAGGTAGGACAAGGACCACTTCTTGGCCTATTAGACACCTGCACTTCCCATGGTCTTTCTCCTTCCCCTGCTGATAACAGCAAAGCCCTAGGGGCTGGGGAGCTCAAGAGGCAGTTTGTGATCCTTCCCACTTGTTAATGGACAACAGGCTAGACATTCAGTCATCTCTCATTAGTAGAAAACCCTATCTAACCAGGCAGCAATTCTGCATAACTCCTCCTCTTCCAAAGCCAGGGAACAAATACTGGTTGAGTACCAGGGAATTGCCAAACAGGTTAAATAAGACACACTGAACAAGGAGTAAGGGGTTTCGCGACAGAAATAGAAGTTTTTAAAGAAACACATGGACTGAGAACTCTTGGAATGAGTCAGGGTACTCAGAATGTTAAAAACCCAGTCATTTATTTCAAAGTATAAAGTTCAGGCTTGCTGGACAAACCCCACTACAGTCAACACTTAAAACGGACACCACTCTACTGTACATTTAGGAAAGAAAATTAAAACCTTCAAAACCTAATAAAAAAAAAGGGCAACCAACCTGCTACAGCCCAGTTAGCATTAGACCTTGAGAGGGTCTTACGGCATCTTATTATTTACATTTCCAACTGCAACAAACAGACATTAGGATGCGAGTTTCCTACAGGGGTTTACTTTTACATTTGAAATGGTTGATAAAATCCTCAAGCTAGGACCACCCAGAAGGTATGTGATTGCTTAGTTCCCTTATTTACAAAAAGAAAAAGAAAACATTTAAATATTTAAATGATAGGTACTCAGCTATTGCTACATATAAAACACAAAACAAAAGCTCAAACATGATAAAGTCATTTGAGGACGAGAGCAGAGTGACTTCGGCTCCTCCCTTTCGGCTGGCTCAGTCTCCTACTCCAACAAACCCATGTCCCTTAAATATTTTTTAAAGCCATTTGCCCAGAAAATAATTAAGGAAGACAGAATCACATGATTACACAGGTATTCTCTATACCACCAGGACATGTGTAGTTCCATGGGGATCAAACAGGCCACCCAATCACAGGCAAGTGGGATAAAATTACCATATTGAGGATACTGAAATGGCCCGAGGAGTCAGGAGGACACTTGAAAGCTTTCTTTGTAGTACCTATGGGGTGAAATCACAGCATGTCAAGAGAGGAAGCCTCACAGAGCATTCTGAATCATATCCGGTACTGGGAGACTCATGGGAAGTGAAATACCTGCCATATCACACTGACACTAAGTGGTAATTCTGAGGATATTTAAAGTAACTGGAGCAAGCCATCAGAACACCTGTCCAATACTAGAAGAGAGCTCTGGAGAGACGCCACTGGGTCCCATGCTTGCTTTTCATCCTGTTTGCAAAGGTATCCTTTATCTGGCATAGGTGGGAGTAGGGGGAAGAACACCTGTCTGTGAGGCAAATGCTAGCCCAACAAGTATTTCCCAGGAAGAAAGCTCTGTTCCTTTCATAAAGTCATACTGCATCACACAGTACACAAAGCACTCTGCAGATTTAAAAAAAAAAAAAAATCGAGCCTGGAGAAACAGAGGGACACAGACACCTTGTACAGTGAACTGTTACAACATGGTGTCTTTGTATGCCATTAGGAAGAACACAAAGAGGCTTACTCACACTTAAAACAGGGTGAAAAGTACTCAAAGTGCAAAGGAGAGAGTAACAAACACAGCTGTTACCACTAGTTACTATATAAACATCTGATGCTTCATCTAAAAATTTTCAGAAGTTTCCGGGAGTCCCAGTAAGGCAATACTTACCAGTATTGTCAGGCTAAAAATGTAGCAAACTTGAATCCCCCAAAAATGGGACAACTGAGCTTATTTGTAATACTTTGAGAAGAGATACCTGGAGTAAAAAGTCCTCCACTCTCCCCCACAGACAGCCAGATAAAAAGCCAATACCCCTCAGCACCTACACTTTGCCTCATGAGTTGAGCACATTTGGGAAACCCAACATGGTTGCTGCCCAAAGAAAGCATCATGATAGATTACCTGAGGAAACTGTCCGCAAGTGTATTTTCCTCTTAATTACAGTCTCTGCCTACACCTTCTTTCCAATCTGGAACAAACAGTTTTCAGTAATTACCTTCTGCAGTAAACCTACATCTAGAGCCATTATTTGGGATTTTTTTTTCCTTTGACAAAAAACACCCAAGTAAAAGCCAAAACAATAAAATAATATTAATTCCACTGGGCTTTCCTCACATGATTATAGAACACTATGGAAACTTAAAAAAAAAAACTAGTAAATATATAACAATTACTAAATATAAACAAACATATTCATCCAGAGAAACTTTCATTAGCCAGTGAGCAGACCCGCCAGTGAAAACCAGTTTGAATATGTGCTTTCTACTACAGACAGGAATGATGTTGAACAGAAGACCAACACTGTACCCACATGACAGGAACACAGTACAGAGGTACTCACAGAAAATTTCTTCCTTTCCAAATCCCATTACCGTAACACTGGCAACGACTCCCCATGATCGTGCATCTTAGCAGTCCTAGCTACATGACTGCCAGCCAAGTCTAACTTGTGGGAAAGTGATTCTCACATGCTCTCCTTTTTCTCAGTGAAGGGGAGGAGCATTTACATCTTGGCAACTGCAGGCTTCCTTCATTAACTAACGGTCATACCAAAGATGACAGAACACCACCCGGTGAAGTCACCAAAGACAATTTCGTCGTAACGATTCCTTCTGTAAGCCATCACAGGGGCAACTACACAAAGGAACGAAGCTCCTGCTTTTATGCCAGGACAAGGGAACAGCCGATGCAGCTTGTGAAGGTAGAAATACAACTTAAAATACCATGAGGGAAGACAGCTCAAAAGTGCCTTCAGACTCCACGAACGCCTCACTCATCCCTAAATGCTCGTCCTCCCCTCAGGTCTTGAAAGTACCTGCTGACTCCCTGCAGTTGCCAAGCCTTGGAAATGCAAGGCTGAGCCTGAGTCTAGTGACCTTCTGAAGGAATGAGAAACAGTAAAGTGAGCAGATCTACCTGCAGTGTGGAATGACCCAAAGGACAGCACTGAGGCTACATCCAAAGCTGATGAAGTCACACTCCAATTGGCACCAGCAAAACAGTTAAGACGAAAGCAGCAAGGACCTCATGAGAGTCAAGAGGAAAGAGAGCTCCCCTGGTCTTCCATGAATTCTGACGTGCACTGCCTTTGAAAGGACACTACCCCAGGAGTGCAGAGATGAACAAGAACTTCCTTCAGAGTCTCTAACAGTGTAACATGGATATTAAACAGGCTAAGAAATTTGTTCCTAAACAATATGGCCTATTTTATGCAGAGTTAAATGATGGGCAAAAATAAAAATATGTTCTTAAAACATAACAGTAAGTCACAACTTTGGAGCTGAATGCAGTGATGTCACAGAGAATGAGCATACACATGTCCACACCTTGTTTCTAAAACACTTAAAGGGTATGGGATTTTTGGTGGCAATTAAGAACCAATGGAAGCTGAAAGAAAGCTACACCAATGGGCACACGGTCTGTGGTCTGTGGACTTCTGTAGTTAAGGCACAAACACAAAAGGAGAAGCCAGATTAGGAATCTGGGGTGAGGGTAGGCCATTGTTCACCTCGTCAGCAACTCAGAAGAAATCAAAGAACACACAGAGGGAATGTTTCCTCTGCTCAAATCCATCTACTTTAAGCTAAATATTTTCCTTTCTTTCTTTCTTTGGGTTTTGTTTGGATTCTCTAATCTTCTAGCCTCCCTACGAGGCAGAATCCCACCAGCTCTGCACCTCAGAGTCTCAATACACTTCCTACTGGAAGAGAGGTAAATCTGAGAGGGAAACGGGAGATCACGCTGTGATAGACACACAACTAGAAATTTAAAAGTTCAAAGAAAGGAAGAAAACACACAAACACCCATACGTATTCCCCAGCCTCAAAAACAAAGCAAGGAATAAATATACATTTCAAAACCCTGAAGTTTGAATTGTTCAGGGAAGACTTGCTTTATGGGCTGAATTTATTTTGCTTCCGGTTATAAACAAACGTAGTGTATACAGTCATCTGTCCAGGAGATCTTGCACAAGGTGATTTTTACATTGAATTTCATGCACAAGATTAAAACAAGCCCAAAACGTGAAACTGTCAAAAGTGGAAGCTAAAGGACTCCAAGGTCTAAGTGTTCTGGGAGGAGGAGATCACGTCCGTGGACTGAGGGTCACAGAAAGGCCCAAACCGGCCGTAAATGTCCTTGGCGCGCACTGCGAAGTAGTATTTGCTGCCAGACACAAACTGCGTGAGAGTACAAGCCATCGGCAAGGGCAGGGCTTTGACTTCCCCAATCTTCTTCCACTGTGAGGGCACGGTGGCACTGGGCTCCTCATGGTAGGCATACAGATGGTAGCTGTCCACAGTAGCACAGCTTCGGTCCACTTCCAGGACGCTCCACGACAGAACAATGCCATTCTGACTCTGAACGCGCGCTAACTTCAAGTGTGGTTTCTGAGGCAGAGAAGTGCTGGCAGCTTCCGGGGGCAGACGCTGCGGCTGTGGGGCTTCTGGTAAGGGCGCTGGATGCAGAGGGCGTGGGGGCTCCTAACAAAAGAAAAGATGGATTGGTTTCTAGCAATTACAGAACCATTTCAGAAGACACCTTAGTGAAGAGATACCAGTTTACACTAACAACTCCACAACCACAACCAATTTTGCAAGTTCTATTCGGTGAACCACAACCAATCATGCCCCAAACAATAATGCTAAACTTTCTCAACTAGATTTCCTGACCAAAAATACTACATTCTCCTTGGAAAACAAAAATCCCTTCCCAGTGGAATATCATGGAAGAGATGTTGACACAAGAGGAACCAACTCTGTCTAACAAATACTTTACAGTTTAACGTCTGCTATAGAGTCTCCTTTTAGAAAAGGATTTAAGTTGTGTGTATCATATACATGGGCACACACAGCCACTCACTCTAAAACTACTGTCATAGAAAGACAGCAGCACGTGCATGGATAATGCTGAACCAGCATTCCGGGCTTGGGGAGTCTGGAGGAAATGCGGACACTGCAAAGGAAGGAGGACTCACAGATGCAAAAAGGCAGAATGTGCCCCCCCCCACACACACACGCACACTGTTCACGGGGAACATGAGCAGCAGTGGCAGAGGAAGCGGGAGGTTAACCGACAACAACGAATGCTAACACTTTCTTTGGCATAAGGTACATAAAGAAAGATCTAGAAGAGGAGGCTATGGCCAGTGATTCAGAAGCATGGAAAACCCTGCTGACCTAACCGTGCACACAGCATCACAGTTACTGAAAACATTGCCACCACAGCTGTTTGGAGATGACAGTGATAACAGGCTTTCAAAAAAGTAAGAGCCCGAAAACAGACACAGTGAATCTAAGTGGGACATAGCACTCGGTGACTTTCTGGAGTCAAAATGTTAAACCTTAACCAACATTCCTGAAACAAAGCATACGTCTGAATTTGTATTCAGGGTGAGGAAGCAGCTGAGTGCTAACCCTACTGTGTGAGGCCCTACATTCAATATCCATCACCCAAACAAACCAAAGCAACACAGTACTCAACTGTATGGATAGTTTGAATACATTACTGAATTATGTGAAGGGCCAATAATATAATATGCTTTTAGATTCCAACACCTTAATATAGTTAAACTGCCTAAACTATAAGTCAAATTATTTGAAAATCTTCAAGAAAAATTATAGCTTAGTCATGACAGTGCCTAAGGGATAACCATCGAGCTAGAGTCCAATACCCAGAGAAGGAAACCTGCTACTTAACATTATGAAAGAACAAGCAAAAAATACAAATCCTACTGTAACAGGGGCTAATCAAAGAACAAAAAAACGGGGCTGTCTGGGCATGTTAAGCCGAAGCTGGAAGGCGCTCAAATCATTTAGTGATGGTTCGAATGGAAATGTTCTGCTCAAAGGCATTCTTCCTGGTAGAAAAGAAATTACACATACATTTGTGGAGAGGCACACTCACTAGTTAACAGACAAAACCATGCTGAGAGAAGCCCAAGGGTAAGGAGTAACACACGGAGTGCTGTTAGCTTCCTGTAATGATCTCTTCCTGAAGTGACTTAGGGAAGCTGGCTGAAGCCAGGGGCTTGGGAAACAACAAGAGTAGAACAGGTTTGCCCAACTACTCACATCCAAAGGCAGTTACAACCAGTCAAGGGTTTTGTTTTTTCTCTTGGTTTTGTCAGTGCAGCTGGAGTTTCTGGAGTTAGAAAAGAAACATACTACTGGGTATTTACTTTAAAGAACCAAGTGTGGATGCACAGGAACATGGATCCTCTAGATGTTAACTTTTGGGAAACTGAGGCAAGAGATCATGAGTTTGCCCCAGTCTGAGTTACAGGTAGAGTCCTGCCTCAAAGGAAACTAAGAAATGTAGCATGTACTATAGGGATTAAGGGATAGACAAAACCAAACTGCCAAGTGCTGAAAACTGGTTAAACTGGTTACGAATCTATAGAAACTATATTAATCTTCCCTTCAAATGCTTGAAAATATGCCTTTAAACTGAGTTTTAATTGCATTAAAATAAAATTAGAAGTCTATGCCTCTAGCAAAACAGTTTAAGCTACTAAGAGTTCCAGATTTACAAAGTAAAAACTTTCAAAACTGGGCAAACTAGTCTATATTACTATGTTACAGTTTCCTGAAGAAAGCAAAGCATTTTTTTGTAGCTACAACAGAAATTTGCCATGCACCTCAAAACAGCTAGAACTGAAACCCTAAAGCTCCAGAGGCAGAGCTGATCTGGCTGGCTCTGGCAGCAGTGTGGGTGAGGACACGAACCACCAGACACCTTCATGACATACTACCTTGCACTGTTACTCTGTTCCCTTTTTGCCAAAGTGAAAGTACTACTACTAATCCCATAGGATTATGAGGGCTAAACCGTACAGGGAAGAGTCAGTCTACTGTTAAGAGTATATTCATTTTTTTTTCCCGAGACAGGGTTTCTCTGTGTAGCCCTGGCTGTCCTGGAACTCACTCTGTAGACCAGGCTGGCCTCGAACTCAGAAATCCACCTGCCTCTGCCTCCCAAGTGCTGGGATTAAAGGCGTGCGCCATCACTGCCCGACAAGAGTGTATTCATAAGAGTGGCTTTGACACAGATGCTCAATCAATGGTACTACTTTTACACTAAGATTAATAAAACTCACAGCTGCCAAACTCTTGATTCTAGGACTGGGGATGTGGCTCGTTCCACATACACAGCCATAAGCACTGGGGAGTGTGGGCTCGTGGGCAGCACACACAGCCTTGGGTCGGCTACTCAACCTCTGAATATCAGCAGCCCCCAGCAAGAAAGCCTAGAAAGTCCTTCAGCAGCAGCCTCGCTGTGCTCTGTGAGGACAGGCATTGAGCAGGTCAGAGACAATCAACCCCACGGAGAACTCTGGGCCCTCCTACCTCACCTCTCTGAGCCCAGCACCTGCCTCACATACATCCTATGTATGTTCATGTATGCACTACAGTACTCCTAAAATCAGTTATTGTCCTGTCACAGGACAATATGACTTTGTTTAAGGCTAAATTTAAAGGGAACTACTTTATTTTCTGTCCTTCTGTAACAAAATGCATTCCAAATACCAGTACATCATTTAAGATAAACTAATGACAACACAGCAGTAAAATTTTAGAAGTACAAAGACATAACATGAAGAATTTACACCTGAGTTAGAGGCACTGTCTGTCACCTCAGAAGCCTGGGCCATGACCCAGTCAGACACAGTGAGCAGAAGTCCTCGCTCACTGAAGTACTTTTTCCCAATGATAAGATAAAGTTTTCTAAAATGACCCTCTATTCGAGACAAGAACAAGCTATCTCCTTCTTTTGATAATATTACTTTAACAAAGGAACTGGCAGCCAGGCAGCGGTGACTAATGCCTGTCATCTCAGCACTTTGGAAGCAGAGGCAGGGGGGTCTCTATGACTTCCAGGGTCAGTGTCAGCCTGGTCTACAGAGTGAGTTCCAGGATAGCCAAGGCTACAGAGAGAAACCCTGTTGAAAGAAAGAAAAGAAAGAGGGAGAGAGAGAGGGGAGAGGAAAGGAGGGAGGAAGTCAACTGGAATGGTCCAGCAGCTTAGTGACTGAGGATGTCCGAAAGGAAGCCCTGACATTTACATTGTGCACTTGTGGTGGCCTGTGATGCACCGTGAGCTGAGGCCCTGCTGATCCTAGGGTCAGTCCATTGTTTACAACATACGTGGTTGTCTGAGGCACTCGAACTGTAACACCTGCAAAAGAAAATTGAGGGAAATATGAAAATTCTACTATAAATTTGTGTTTGGCCATTGTAAACAACAAAACATTTTTAAAAAAATTGTTAAGACAAGAAATTCCAATGGAAAAGTCTCTAGACAGCCAAGCTGTGACTTACACACGAGGAGGAAGAACTCCTAAACTCAAGCCTTTCACAAACACTATCCCAAGTGGCACTGTAGGCTGCACGCAGCAGCATGAAGGGAACTAAGAAGCAGGCAGACATGACAGTGATACATGACAACAGCAGACAGACATCCTCCTGAGGACGACTAGAAATAAAACCCTACACAATGGCTCTGTCCTCCAAGGGTGGACAGCAGCTAGACCGGATGGAGCCGATGACTCAAAGCTCTTCAGACAGAAGCTGCTAAGGAAGCAGTCCGTCCTTGGGGCTAGAGGCAAAGGCAACGCAGCAGTGAGAGCACTGGCTGCTCTTGCAGACGACCTCAGTCTGCTTCCCTGCACCTACATCAGCCAGCTCACAACTGCCTGCAACTCCTGTTCCAAGCCATCTGGAGCAGGACATCCTTTACTGGCCTGGACAGACAGACAGACAGACAGACAGATGAACAAATCTTTTCCCTAAAAGCCACCAGTCCTATGTTAGTGGAGGGCTCCCTACGTTCTCTCTTTATACTGCTAACCAGCTGAGGACACTTACTTCACACCAACGAAGACTGCTGGGACATTAGCAAGGTCAACAAAAGTAGAGAATTTAGAGCCGTGCCATCCAGTCTCCCACCATGCCAGCAGACATTCAGTATGTGAGCCACACTGAGTGCCAGGACTGGTCCAGAATTCACTCATGACCCAATCAAACAGCTGCCTAGAGAAAATCCTTACAAACCAGAGAGACTGAAAGCCAGATTATGGAGCCAAAGACTCCACTTGGTTTAATTTCCCTTAGAAATTAATAATTAATAATGGAATTTCAGTTTTTAAGACAGCTAGATTTGTGTTCTAATTTTATAAATATATATGCACAGCTATACATTAGCTATACATTAGCTTTGACATTCTGTATTTATGTGCACGTGGGATAAGCATATAAGTGACTCCTACACTGATGTCAATAAAGAGAAGATGGCAGAGGGAAAGACAGACAGAAGAGCAATAAAGTTGTGCTTCCTATTGTGGCCAAGGTCACTCTGTTTCACTCTGTGATTAAGCCATGTATTCTAAGATGTTAATACACATACATACGTTAATTTTATACAGATTGGGCATAATTACTATTTAAATCAACTGAATTTCCTGTAATATTTGAGACAACCTTTACCATAACTTTCCTTTTCTGAGTTAAGCCACAACTTACCAATCTAACTTCCATTTGACACGGTAGGAATCTTCCCCCCACCACACCCCCCAGACAGGGTTTCTCTGTGTAGCCCTGGCTGTCCTGGAACTCACTCTGTAGACCAGGCTGGCCTCAAACTCAGAAATCCGCCTGCCTCTGACTCCCAAGTGCTGGGACTAAAGGCGTGCGCCACCGCCGCCCGGCAAGGTAGGAATCATTAAGAGCACACTTTTTAACCTCAGCATGGAGGCGGTTGGGACGAGCAGATGTCTGTGAGTTTGAAGCCAGCCTGGTCTACACTGCAAACTCCTGTGCAGCCAGGGATATACAGGGATATACAAAACATAAATAAATATCAAATGGGGTACTATAATAACAAGTTAAATTGAAGATAATATAAAGACTGCAAGTCTTATAGCATATATGTCCAATATCTTCCTTTAAATCACAAGAAAGGTTGGATGCAGTGCTGCACTCCTTTAATCCTAGCACTTGGGAGACAGAAGCAGGTGGATCTCTGTGAGGTCCAGACTAGCCAGGGATCTTTGTATGGTATCAGTAATTTCCAATGGATACACTGTTACTAATTATACCATGCAAGTGTACTTAATATGACTGATAATCTTACGTCAGTATAGAGTAGTACACACACTTCAAAGCCATACATAAGAGAAGAGCCTCTTACTATTTTGAGGATTGACCTGACGAACAGCAGGAGCCTGCATAACAGTTCCTCGTAAGGGAGCCTGAGCGGTCGGTGCTGGGAGAGTTGTATAAACCACTTGGTGGTTTGCAGGAGCTCTTGGGACAGGGAGTCTTGTGGTCACCTGAGTTACTGGACGATGTGTTACATTCACGGTGGTTGGAGCTAAAGGAAGCAAACAAAAGATACCAAGAATGACGCCAATTCTATGTTTAGAGGATAACATGAAGCAGCAATTTCCACTACACAAAATCTAACCACAGGGGAAAGTGCTGTCAGACCATGTGCAGGTCGAGTGCACCTTCCCTGTTCCAGGTGTCTGTCTAGCTGAGCTAACGATGGCAAGGAACAGAGGCAGATCAAGCCATCGCCTACAAATAAGGGACAAGTTCTAGTTCAAGTCTACCATCCAACACCAGCCAGACTCCTCAACTCAGCAGATGAAAGAGAAACAAAGTAGCACAGCTGAAAGAACGGGTCTTCTGTAAAGGAATTTATGACCCTGGACCCTGGGTGTGTGTCATCTGTCTGAGGGACTTTTGTTCCCACGGCCATGTCACCATCATCATGGTAGCTGACTGATAAGGTCATCGTTAGCCCTCCTGCAGGATCCCCAGTACATCTCTCGTCCCATGGGCTTCCTAAGCAGGGTCCCCACAGACTCAACTGTCATTTTGGTGGTTTTGGTCTCTGTTCACTGAACTCAAAGCACTAGGCGCTGTGAATCAGTCACACACACATTTTCCAGAAACCTTCCTGGTAGCTGCTGATGCAGAAGCATGTCACAGCTTGGAACCTTAGAAGTAGGCTTTTTATGCAAAACCTTGACAGTATGTTTATTAAACGTACGGCTGTATTTAGATCCTGTTCCTGCTCTAATACACAGGCACTGTATACGGTGTTCTGCAGATGTTAAAACTGTTAAAACTGATGAAATTGGAAAAAGATGTTTTTGGGGGGACTTGATATGAAATTATTCTTCCCCCTTCCACATGAATTCTTTTCTAAGGGTACCAGTGTCCAAATCAAAGCCTTTTTGGAAGCTACATTTTATAATCTTGACATAAAACTTTTGTTTTACATTTTATTTTGTTGTGTGCACGTGTGACGTTCAGACAACAATTAATGGGAGATGGTTCTCTTCCTCCACCATGTGGGGCTAAGGACCAAGGTGCTAAGTCGAGCTGGCAGGCTTGGCAGCAGGTACCTTTACCTCGATGCTTGTTTGCACAGCACCCCTCGCTCCCAGCACTGGGAATGGACTCACGCTTACACATGCTCTCCTTGGTGCTCCTCGGAACTTGGAATGTAGGTCATGTCTAACCTACCATGAGTGCTGTGTTCTACTTCAAGTTGAGAAATGCGGAATTCTAGTAAGGCAATAACTCACTATTAGTAAGGCTACACATGCAATCCCAAGAGTGAGTTTGAAACTACCTCGGCTACAAGTGAGTTTAGGACCATCCTAGGCTAAAATGAGAGCCTAGCTTACAGATAAAGTGGAAGAGCTGAAGAGATGGCTCAGCTGTCAAAGACTAAGATCACAACCAAAACTAAAGCAAAACAGATAAAAGTAAAAGGAAATAATACTATGTATCAGGAAACTACAAATGCCAAAGCCAGTTCACTGGTCCCTTCTTTATTGAGTTCTGTGTTGTTACCATGGTAATACCTGAGCAGAGGTGAACTTGAACATTGAGACTGATGATGGCTCCCTCTGGTTCATATCCACCACACACACACACAAAACTCAAAGTGGCACTTCGGTGAAACTTAACAAATGTGCTTCTTGGTTGTCAGTAACTTTGATTCTTTTCTGTGGCCTCCTTCCCTTGAACTTGAACTACAGCAAAAGCCATTCTGGTTCTCCTCCCTACAGTCGTGAGGTCACTGCAGCAGTGTGCACAACACAGCCTTTCTACAGGAGGCATCTGCTGAAGGCCTGCTGGGTGACTGACATGGATGCTGGAAAGTGTTTCAAGTTTTCCATGTACACGGCAGAGCTGGCACAAGCATGACCTCATGGCCGTGACCTCATAACGGGAACCATTAGAGAAAAGAAGAGTAAGAATCTTCAAGCTTTTGAAATGGTCTAGACTAGTAAAGATGTGGTGACACTGCTTCAGCCCTTTAGCAACTATTTGCTCTTGCTAGTGTTCTCAAAAACGACTGACTCCTTTGGTTCACTGATGGGGTGGACAGTCATTGGCAAAGAAGCCATGTCCTATCTGACTGTCAGAATTACCTACTTTACAGTGAGTTGACACCTGGTGCCAACACTTACTTCCCTACATGTAAAACACAGCGTCCAAGAAGGTCTCTAGTGCTACATTCCAGAGAATTTACTATGTCCAAAGCCCTTAAATGGACATTCAACTAAAGGTTATATCTTGCTTACTAATTTTTTTACTCAGAATAGGAAGCAAGAACGTTTTAGCGTCTGATGACAACTACCAATGTATCTCTTTGCATAATGACACTTCCTTTTAAACCATAAATTACATATCACTGTAACCTTCGATAAGGCAAAGAGGTACAGAACTGCTAAGCGTTAAATGCAATGTAGTTATTTAGATAGAAAAATGACATTTGAATATAAAGACCAACATAAAACTTCTATGCAGAACATAGCACTTAGTTTTGTCTAGAAATAGCAACAGGATAAACAGTAGCTTAAGTGACAGGATGTGCAATAACATCAAGACTCTGAAAGGCAAACAATCCACTACGCTAAACTGCACACACTTACCGCACCAAGAACAATTTCGAAGATTAACACACAACTTGCTGAACCATTAGAAAATAATTTAGCCACACATTATTCTGGCATTGTAAGTTTCACGGCTGAACTGTCATTTGGCTCACTCAGGAAGGTGTGCTTCTGTAAGCGCAGCAAGTGACAAGAACCTGACCTGCAAGAAGCCAGGATGTCGTCTAAACAGTATAGGTGACACAGGCTAAGTGGTGAGAAGACACAACATTACCGGTTTTTGAAATGAAGCAGGTAAAATATTAGCACAAACTTCCTGATTGTGCTGTTCTGATTAAGTTTGGACCCCACAGACTCTTATGTTTGAATGTTTGGTCTACAGGGAGTGGCACTATTAGGAGGTGTGGCCATGCTGGAGGAAGTATACCACTGTGGAGACAGGCTTTTAGGTCTCATACATAAGCTCAAGCTACAGCTACTGTGACCGTCTTCTGCTGCCTTTGGATGCAGTGGAGAAGCCAGCCCCCATTAGAGTTTGCCTTGGTAAGAGAGTAGCCTTGGTCATGGTGCCTGTTCACAGCAATAAAACCCTAAAACACTGATATTATGGTAAGTTGATTAAAACCAGCTTGAGCCTCAGACCCTGCCTCAGGAATAGATTGCTTATGTAGCATGGTTAAGGCCCTTGGTTCAATCTCCAACTTAAAAAAACAAAATTTGACCAGCCCTCGAATGTCTTGGTTCTATTCAGAACAGTCACTATAACGAGGCTTTCTGGAGAGCTGAATCAGTTCTGCTCTTCAGAGTAGCTAATGACAATGACCCAGATCAAGTCTCGTTTATAATTACTCTCTATCCGTGTTGCTCCTTGGGGCAGTGAGCAGAGCTGGGTCACATTATACATTCAAATCATAACTTTCTCTTACAAGTTATAAGAACTCTTCTTAATATTCTTCTGATTCTTCCCCCTGCTTCCAGAGCCAGTGTGTCGTAAATGGACTACTAAAGTCCCTGCTTGGTGACTCAGCAAATTTACCTGTAGGCAGGACATGGATAGTTGCCTGAGATGGACCACTTGTCGGCACCCCAGATGGCTGGAGAGGAGGTGCTGGTAGAATGGGCTGCAGCGGTCGAGACACGGGCTGAGAAGTGCTCACAGTAGGCGCAGGAGGAGGGTTTAGCTTTTTGGGGTCTGTTAATTAAAATGCAAGACACTTGAGTGATGACGGAAGACACACGGTGACCCAGGCCCGACTTTCCTGAGACTCACTCATTTGCTTGCCACCTGCACATCACACTCTTCAGAAACAACACTTTTCTGTTCTCATTATGTGTGTTTTTGCGGATTTGAAAACTCAGTCAGGAGCTATTTAAAGAATTCCAGTTCACGCTTTTAGAGAAATAGTCTTATTCTCCATCAACGATCTTCTGGATTCAATACATAGTATTAACTTCATTGGAAAAATACATGTATATGTAATTTATTAATGTACCAAAGACATTCTTCTAGTCAAAGAGTGTAGAGTGGCCGGGCGGTGGTGGCACACGCCTTTAATCCTAGCACTTGGGAGGCAGAGACAGGCCGATTTCTGAGTTCGAGGCCAGCCTGGTCTACAGAGTGAGTTCCAGGACAGCCAGGGCTACACAGATAAACCCTGTCTCAAAAAAACCAAAAAAACCAAAAA